AATGCAACCAATGGGCCTGATGTGTTGCACAGGTCAACCTCGTGTCGCCAAGTGGAGTGCTTGTCAACGAGTATGAGCCCGTCATGCAAGATTTTTACAAGTAAAGAAACAAGAAAAATGGCTCCAAACCGTTTACTTTGCACCATTGCTACTCAGAGATTGATGGATATGAGAAGTGGGCAAGAAGAAACTTTGAAACCACACCAAAGAGGCAAAGTCTCGACACCAATGTTGATGATGATGATGACTTGGTAGAGAACCTATCCACTCCTCATGTGTGTCGGGATGGATCAAAATATGCAAGGCATGCCAAGAAGAATGATGGTGTTGGAGCATACAAATAAGAGTTGTTTAAAAATGGTGAAGGTGAGAAGGGCATTGATGGCCGGAGGGAAGGAGGAGAAGATGACTAGTTTCTATGAGATGAAGTTGATGGAGGAGAAGTGGAAGGCAAAGGCAACGGTTGAGGATAGAAAGGTGCTAGCGGGGGAGAAAACTTTGAACTTGAGGACGAAAAACTTTAATTGGAGGCCGAGGAAAAAGTATTGAGATTGAGGAGCAAAAGTTTGCCATGGCGGCCGAGGAGCAAAGGAACTAGAGGGTGGCCGATGACGTGCTATCATGTGGATGGATCCTAGCAAGATGCACAAGAAGGCGAGAAAATATTGGGACTTCACTCGTGAGACATCTTGACTAAGATGTGTGGTGGCGGCAGCAATGGTGATGGCGGTAGTTTTCTAGAATGAATTCAACGAACTTTATGTATGCTTGTAGCAGAATTAGGATGTGGTGCATTAGCATTGTCTATGTACCCCCTCCGTCCCAAAAATAAGTGTCTTTAATTTAGTATAACTTTGCACTTATTTTGGGACGGTGTGAGTATGTGTTAAAGTGTGATGAATTTGTTTCAATTGTTTGAACAAATGTTTAGACGATTCAGCAAAATAATTTTCTTTAATATAGAATCTGAGGAAACGTCATGTTCTTACTAGAATTTAGAGAAATGAGATATGGAGATGGTTTTGGACATTCAGGATCGTGGATCTAGTAGAGATGCCCTACAAACATTCATGCTTTCCCCAAAAAAAGTCATTGCAGAATTGTTTGTCTAGCTCTGCCACTGCCGGCGAGCACCTAGAAACTCCCCCTTCCTCCTCTAACGGTCCAGCCGTCAGCCCTGCTACTATATGATCCATTTTTCAAAGAAAAAATATATGCAAGAAGAACGTACGTAGCAGCACCAAAAGTTACACTTGGCAGACTGGTCCTAGGCAACTAAGGACGTACTGGTTCTAGGTGGTTTCCTTTTATCCTCGGCCTTTGGCTACAGCACTTGTTACACTTTCTTGTGCTGTAATCAGTGAATGTGAATGCAGCGCTGACTGCTTGTTACACCTGACTGCATTCCCTGCAACGCACTCCACCAGTTGGCAGAAACATTTGTACAGAAGCATTGCATATGACAGACTCCACAAGCACTTGTACCGAAGCATTCTGTATGACTCATGCTCATCTGGTCGAAGGATGAACGAATACTCAGAGACGGGGCTTCATCACTACCCAGGCAGCCGAACACCACATGTGAAATACTTGGCCCTCGCAAGGCCTGATGTTATCGTGACGATTGTGTACGTAGCTGAACCTGCAGTGACAACATAGCTGTAAGAAATTTTTCTAATCCTCAGCACTGTAGGCACTCCAAAGAATTAACAATAAGAAAATGAAAGAATAAAGAAGAGACTGATGGAGTAGATACGTACCGAGAGCAGTCAGCGTCCGCTATCAGTGGAGCAGTGAAGACTCGACTGTCGTCTGTTTGATTAGGAAGAACAATGCCAGTCCTCCCGGGCCCGATCATTCTGGTCTCTGGAAACGCAGGTGGATCACCAGGGACAACTCTGTAAATGCCAGCCAAATTTGGTAAAACTCCTCCACTTTTCACTATGTAAAGACTGGCAAGATTTTCAATCAGAGAAAAGCTGTTTCCAACTGCTTCCACAGCACCCTCCCACTCTATGAGATGTAGTAGACCATCTTCCTCCTGCGTCACCGAGCAGAGACATCCATTGTCAGATAACCAAAACAAAGCATTTTGGTGGATGATGAGGCTGTGTATGCCTAAATGTCCGCATACTACAGCACTCTGCTGCCAAACACCATCCATTGTTCTTAGCCAAAATTCAGTGACGATATCGGCTTCTCCGCCACCTTCATCTGCATTATCATCGGCATCTACTTGAGCAAATATCCTTTGCCTAGCGAGCACTAGAGTAAGATCTGAACTAGGGGTTCCATTGAAATAGCCCTGTTCAATTTCCACCCCCACATGGAAGTTGAGTAAACGCTTCTCTGACCTCACTTCCCACAGCGAAACATATGTGCCCTCTTTGAGTAGAAAGAAGAAATATCCATTTGAGTTGCGCTCCT